GAGTAATTTCTAAACTCTTTTGCATAAAATTTCTACTGGTTTTATATGAATCTTGTTTATTTTTGGAATGAAATCAATGAATTTTACTTAAGGGTTTTATCCGGATAAAGCTTGGCCGGATTGTTTTAAATCGGTCAAAGGGTGGACGAGGTATTGGCCGGATTGCTTTAAATCGGACAAAGGTTGGACGATATATTGTCCGGATTGTTTTAAATCGGTCAAAGGGTGAGCGGGGAATTGTCCGGACTTGTTATCCGGACAAAGATGTTGATTTTTATTCTAAATGATAAATCGATCAAGTTTTATGCGGTGTGTTGTCCGGACTTGTTATCCGGACAAAGTTGGAATTAATCCTAAGTATTAAACCGGACAAAGTTTATGCGATGTGTCATCCAGATTGTTGACCAGAGATGAAGTCCGGCTAAATCAAGTTGACCGGATTTGAAGTGATATCTTGTGTTTTTTTTATAAGAAATGTTATTTTATCATAAAAAGAAAGTTTTGAAAGAAATGATTTGTGTATTGATAATAATAATTTCAATGACTGCGGTTTATTTGAAATTATTTTGTGAAACGTTTTGATGAAGAAATAAGGGTGGCATATCAAGGAGAGGTGTACCATGGGATAAGGGTGGCACATCAATGAGAGGTGTACCATGAGATAAGGATGACATATCAAGGAGAGGTGTACATTTGGATATAAGGGTGGCATTTGCATGTGTGTTGAATGAATAACTCTTTCTATTATATCCTTTAAGACTACCGTGATCTGGAATCTTTATTTCTTTGTGATTTGAAGATTTAGGATTAAGGTTCTTATTAGAAATTATAGTCTGGATGTTATTGAGGAGAAAACATCAGGTTTGGCCTGAAACTTTATATATAAACCTTATTTAATTTGAGAAGGTTTAAAAAAAATGGCATTATATGAGACCTGATTGGTTCAGGGGTATGAGATTTGTGTAGCTGAATGCTTTGTTTGATAAATGGAAAGGATTTGGGTTTATGTTCCTATTTGTTCATATATTTGTATATATATGAATAWTTGTTTTTTCACAARGATTTTGGTGATTTACACCCTRCAATAACATAAATAGGGTATCTCACTAGACCTTTCRGTCTAACCCTCRTTTTATGATTTTAACTATGTGTTGCAGGAGGTAYAGAGGGTAAGGGAAAGAKGAAGATTTAATATTTTCCTATATGCATTTCTGCTTGAAGATCTGTTTTGATGTACAGTTTTGATTGATTAGTACAAGAAATGTATTTTGAATTTTTGGACCTTGTATTTGGTCATGTTAGATTGTTGTACTAAGGGACCTGAATGGAATAATATGTATTTCTTTTGTATGAAATATGTGTTACATGCAATGTGTGGGTTGGGGCGTTACAGAATGGTATCAGAGCCTGAGTTTAAGGGATTTAGGTATTCAACAACATGATACCTAGACTTAAACTGTTTTATTGCATGTTAAGGGTCCTGGACATAGTTAGCCATTGGAAATAAATATGATGAGTTGAAAGAACAGTGTGTAAGGTAAAATTTAATTACATCTGGCCAGTGTAATTATGAATTCACAGGTACACATCTGAACTTGAATACTTCATTATATTTGGGAATGTGTTACGTGATTATTAACACTAAACTCTGCAGATGTCTAGCTGAACTAGAAGGTCTGAAAGAGTGAATCGTCCAGAATCTAAGGAAAGGGAAGAATCACCTGTTAATCTTCCAACTAGTATATCTAGAAATAGAGGTCGCGGAAGACCAAGGGGACGAGGCAGAGGAAGAAGTCAGTCTAAGGGAAGGGGTTGGACTGGAGTACATTCTGAACACGAAGAATCCCACTCTGGGAATGTTCAAGAAAGGTCGGTGCCACACCCAGAATATATAACCAGAGATATGTTGGCAGAGGAAATGGGGAAGTTGCGAGAAATCTATCATGGGAATACCGGCTAGGGTGGAAACAGAAAGAGTGGAAGTTTATCCCTCTGCTCCAATCACTCACAACAAGGAAGGAGATATTAAGATGTTTTTAGCATGCAAACCGCCAACCTTTTCTGGAGAAAGAGATCCAGTGAAAGCAATGTGCTGGATCAAGGAAATGGAATCTGTGTTTAACACCATTCGGTGCCCGGAAACATATAAAGTTCGATTTGCTGTTTCTATATTAAAGTCAAATGCTTTATTTTGGTGGGAAGTTGAATCATCTACCAAAACAGATATTTTACAGACTCTGTCTTGGGTAGAATTTGTGGATAGATTCAAGAATCAATTCTGTCCTAAAACGGCATTGAAACAAATGGAGGAAGATTTCTTGAAACTAGAGCAAGAAAATGGAACAGTTCGGGAGTATACTGAAAGATTCATTGAATACTCTCATTTTGCCGAACATTATGTTTCGACTGAATCCAGGAAGATAGAGAGATATATTTGGGGTTTGAAACCCTCAATTAGAGAATTTGTTATTGCTATGAACCCCAATACCTTTCCATTGACAGTGGACGCAGCTGAGATAACCGAATGAAATAAGAATCGACAATCAGAAAGAAAGATTGTAGAGAAAAAAAAATGGGAGGGACCTTCATCTTTTCGAGGGCCGAAAACTGTTAGATATGGTAACAGATCTGAGCAGAAGATCAGTGAGAAAGTCTGTTCACAGTGCCGACAAATTCATCAGGGTGAATGTAAGATGGACCCAAGGAAATGTTATAAGTGTGGCGAAGCAGGCCATCTGTCT